TCCAGAGGGACCTTGAGAGGCTGGAGAGGTGGGCCTGTGAGAACCTTATGAAGTTCAACAAGGCCAAGTGCAAGGTTCTGCACGTGGGTCAGGGCAGTCCCAAGCACAAGTCCAGGCTGGGCAGAGAATGGATTGAGAGCAGCCCTGAGGAAAAGGACTTGGGAGTGCTGGTGGGTGAGAAGCTCAACATGAGCCGGCAATGTGTGCTGGCAGCCCAGAAAGCCAACCGTGTCCTGGGCTGTATCAAAAGAAGTGTGGCCAGCAGGTCGAGGGAAGTGATTCTGCCCCTCTACTCAGCTCTTGTGAGACCCCACCTGGAATACTGTGTTCAGCTCTGGGGTCTCCAACACAAGAAGGAGATGAAGCTACTGGAGCGAGTCCAGAGGAGGCCACGAAGATGATCCAAGGGTTGGAGCACCTCTGCTATGAAGACAGGCTGAGAGAGTTGGGGCTATTCAGCATGGAGAAGAGAAGGCTCCAGGGTGATCTTATTGCAGCTTTCCAGTACCTAAAGGGGGTCTACAAGAAAGCTGGAGAGGGACTTTTTACAAGGGCATGTAGTGATAGGACAAGGGGCAATGGATTTAAATGGAAAGAGGGGAGATTTAGATTAGATCTAAGGAAGAAATTTTTTACATTGAGGGTGGTGAGGCAGTGGAACAGGTTGCCCAGAGAAGTTGTGGATGCCCCATCCCTGGAAGTGTTCAAGGCCAGGTTGGATGAGGCTTTGGGCAACCTGGTGTAGTGGAGGATTTCCCTGCCCACGGCAGGGGGGTTGGAACTGGATGATCTTTGAGGTCCCTTCCAACCCAAACCATTCTATGATTCTAAGATTTGATAAGACTTTTCACTACTGCTTAAGTCTGAAATGCTTCAGGAGGTCACACGCGGAGCTGCTCTGCTTGCCCGTGCCCTCCTGGAGCGGCTCCATGCAGAGGAGAAGGCACTTACTTGTTGCAAAGCTCCATCTCTGTTATGATAATCTCTTGGACGTGCCAGAAGACATCAGCTTTTGCAGATGACTTTTTCCCGTCTTTTGGGCAGTGACCAACACAGATGGCTGCAATATCACCCACGTTCTTTGAAGAAAACTGAAATGTGTCTGTTGCTCCCCTGCCGGAAACAGGGAGCAGTTTCAGTCAGTATCTTGAGGGATGAGAGACTTGTCTCATATGGACATTAAGTAATTTGTACATGGCTACGGAAGATAGAGGATAAGCCTTCATTTAAAGTCATTTGGTTTAACCTACAATCATTCAACACAAAGTATAATTTCCATATTTAAATTTAGTATTTTCTCTGATTAAGAGTGACGCTTTAAATTGTTGCCACTAGGACTTTCCAGGATAAACTTGAGCTGTTCCACATACAAAATCAATTTGCCTCATTATAGATAAAGCTGAAGAATGACTAATTTCCCCTCCAGCACTTATTCATTCATCCTTTTACAGATACTGTATCTGTTACACATCTACCCACCATAGCTGTTTTAAATTCGCTAGTTCTGCCATCCTTTCTGAAGCTCAGCTTGAGAACAGTTTAGAGAAACAATAGGTCTCTGTCAAACCCTTGGCTGGCTCCCTGTCATGTCTCCTGGGTATCTATTAGGTTTATCTCCTTGAACTGGTCCTTGTTGCAACCTCTCTCCAAGGATGGACTCCTACTAATGCTTTGGAGAGTGCAGTCTGTGACTCCAGTGCAGACACCATCAGCTAAAGGCCAGGAGGAAGCTCCTCCTGAGCTTTCATGCTTCACATGAAATCTCAGCCATTCAAACCACAGTCCACACCAGCTGTAATTTCACCTTCCTTTCAGAACTGCAAGAAAAACTTTTCTTCCCTGTGAAGCAACTGCAGTGTCCATGACTTTGAAGCAGTTCCCACCTCCCGAGGGCATACTCTGTCCTTAAACAAAGCAGAAAACCCATCTCACATCTGGAGTGCTTTGGCCCCATGTGGGAGAAGGAACCTGCCCCAGGTTACTGAGATGCACCTCCAGCTCACCTGTGCAAGGGGGCTGATACTCGGCTTTCCTCACGTGATGGTGATCTTTCAGCCTCACCCCCTAGATCCATCTGGAAAGTCAAATCTGAGCATCTCTGACAACATT